AAAAAAAAAAAAAAAAAAAAAAAAAAAAAAAAAAAAAAAAAAAAAAAAAAAAGAGTCGATATGTCAATAATATAATCAAGTCGCAAATTTGTGGTTGGAACACATTTCCGATCGGGTCGATATCCAGTTGAGTCAACTTTTCGATTGGGGTTTATTTCCGGTCGAGTAGAAATTAAGATTTTCGATTTCCGGTCAAGCGAAATTTCGGGTGGATAACGAATCCCGTTGATTGTGGTTTCCGGTCGGTCAGATTTTCGATCGAATCAAATTTTCAGTCGTGTCAAATTTTCGACAGGGACACGTTACCGGTTGGAAACAGTTTCCAGTTGGGTTAATTTCCGGTCACGTCATAAACGGATGGATTACGGTTCCAGTGAATGGGAATTTTGGGATCGGTCAGATCTCAGGTTGGTTCTAATTTCCAGTTGGGTCAAGTTTTCGATTGGAGCACGTTTCCGGTCGAGCAGAGTTTACGGTTGTCGATTTCCGGATAAGTAAAATTCGGCTGAACGGTTGGTCGATTGATTTGAGTTTCCGGTGCGTAAGATCACCGGTTGAGTAAAGTTTTGGTTAGCAGGGTTAGATCAGGTTTTTTGTTGAGTAGGATTTGTGGTAAATTTGAGTTTCCAGTTAATTTAAAGATTCAGTCAAGTGAATCAAGTGTCCCGTTTAATTGAACGATTCCAATTTTTTAATTGACGATTTGCGTTGTCCAGGAAGATCATCGATTTTTGAATCCAAGAATTCCGAGGGATGCACCAGAAACAAAAAAGAAACACACATGCTGATTAGAAGAGAGAAAAGTACATGTAAACTTAAAGATGGAAATAAATATCCCTGGTAAAAATTGGCGATAAGAGCTGCGTTTCAAAATACCGCAGGAACTCTTATAGACGGCTAAAGAAGGCTATAGAAAATCATATAGCTGGCTGTAGAATGCGGAGAAAATCATACGGCCGGGCTGTACGAAGCGATAAAAAATTATGCAGCCGGGCTATAGTTCCCATCGCCGGGCCTTACACTTTATCGCCTGGCTGTCGCTTTTTCGCCATCGATTATAAAAGGCTGTAAGAAATTGTGTAGAAATTCGTTTGCTTTGGAAATCAGTAAGTTCGATACGGAACCACCTTAATATTTACAAAACACACATTATATTGTCCTTTAATACATATTTTTTTTCATCAATTAAAGTGAGAATAATCCATACAGGATGTGCAAACATTTCAAAATCATGAGTTGAATAATGCTGACTCCGCCAGATTAAATATTAGAGCCTAACACAAAGCGGAGCGGCGACGCACTGGCGCCTACAAACCTAACAGGGATACTTCACGCATTGCGCAACGCGTGAAGTATCCCTGTTAGGTTTGTAGGCGCTAATGCGTGTTTCGTGCTGGCTGCCCGCGTGCCACGGCGCTTGAAGCAACTATTTCAAGCCAGAGGTATTGCACAGTTTCATACGAAATTGAAGGCGCTCCAACATATTAGGAATGGCAGGCATCCTTCAAAAGTACGGAGCTTTCCTCGCAAAATAAACCAAGATACTACGGCCCAAAAAGAGAGCGGTAGTCCAAAAACTCACTTAGTCCTAGCATCCGTAATTAGTAACGTTTAGCGTACACTTCATCGCCTGGCTGTTGCTTAATCACCATCGGCTACAAAAGGCTATAAGAAATTGTGTAGCCGGCTATAGAAGCTATTGGAGATTTTACAGCCGGCCGTAGGTCTATGGTATTTTGGAACACAGATTCTACTGCCAATTTTTACCAGGGATCCCTGAAATCTTTATCAGTGTATAAGTCGCAGGCAGTCAGGAATCGCCGGAGATTTGCAAGCTCCGTACTTGTCAATTCGTCAAATTGTAATTACGATAACATCGATATAGTAAAGATTTCTTTACGTCTTCCAATCAAGCGATACTCTCCGCTTTGCCAAGGAGTTAGTTTAGTTGCTTAACCGAACCTAACACGGATTATTGTTGACATTTCACGAACTCGAGAGTGTGATGTATCCAAGAAGAAGGGGCTAACGTATGTTTGAATTCAAAGCATAATAATCCCTACTTTCAATCTCGTTTTTTTACTTTAAAACGATTTAATTTGTTGATTAAACACGAATGTATTGCAATTTGCCGGCGATTGCTAATTGCCTGCAACATATATATATATATATATATACCTGAGAATGTTTGTGAAGAAATTAATGAATAAAAAATTACTGACTGAACGATCACAATCACTGCCTATGTTAATTAAACAATACTAAAGCCCTTTATCGATGGTGAAAGTGAAGAAGTGCGAATCTCGGAAAACACGATTTTCCAGGAGAGTAAAAAAACTGCCTGCATTCCTCTTTATTGTTGGTAGAAGGGTAATAATTCTTGAGGATATCAAGAATAAGATGTTTTTTCAAACTCCATCAGCAGTTCCAATAATTTCTCAAACTGTTAGAAAATACGGCAGAAATCCCGAGATTTACGTCTTTGGCACTAAGAATCGACACTTCATCAGGATATACGCATTTTTGCAAATAGTGTTCTAAACTTGTTGGTGGATTTGGATCATTTAAAGACAAAAAAAAAAGGGTTTCACACTTATAGTTCTTTATTAGATACGATGTAGTTGGTCATCGATGCTCCATCCATACATGCTTTTCGCTTTCCGAATGGACCAGTGGACAAAGTACCTTTTCTTCAATTTTGATTATTCACAGTTAATCAAAGAAAGCTCATTTTATCCGTGCAAAACTTCTTAAATTCACAACCGCTTTTGAGTAAGTTGCGATCTTGTGAACGGCGACTCTTTCAGTTTCGGCCATAGACATAGACATAGAAAAATCTTATTACTTGATAATCAAAATAATATTCCTCGGGCATTTTTCAAAATATTACGGCTTGATTTAAGATTCCAAAATTTTGACAATTTTTGGTCAACATAGTTGTTCAGGGCCATTCACATACGACACATAAGAGCGCCTTCAAACCACTTCGTAATCTTAATGCAAAATTTTGATACCACTGTTCGTGCGTCACGGCAGTCATTTTGCATAGCCGGCCAATTGAAGGCAATTCATTGGCCCAGGCACCTGGATGCACCTTTCAGCAATGTAATACACGTAAATTTTAGGGAGCAAACCTTCGGGGGTGCCGCCCCTGGCATCCAAGGATCCCAACCCCCTGGGGGCTGGCCCCTTGTCATCCAAGGAGCCCAACCATCAAGGACTGCCCCCTCTGGCCCTGTTGGACTTCTATTGACTATGGCTTGGTTTTTGCAGATCCCTACGGAGGATACTACCGAGGTAGGGTGTCTCAAAGTGAGGCGGAGCGGAGACACGAATGCGACATTTGCGGGGCCAGCTACAAAAACTACCGCCATCTTGTCGACCACAAGAAATCTCACACCTCCAAGACCTACTGCTACCTCTGTCACAAGAACCTGTCCACCGTCTCGCATCTCAAGACACACATGATGCTCACTCACAAAGAACATCCCGCGCTGTGGTCGTAGGTTACTCCTCCGCCACAGAGGGCCCTACTCAGAGACAAGAGACCCTCCACTAGTATCTTGGCCATGGTGGAAGCTTTTACTTTCGGGACTTCAGCATTCTACTGTTGACTTACCTACATGGTTGATGTTCAACAACGTGTTGGCAGTTTCGTTTTGCAAACAAGCCGAAGATGAGCGACGTTTGGGAAAGTTGTTTGGCTCATGACGTCATCCGAAGCTCATCATCGACCATGTAGGTAAGTCAACAGCCGAAACTAGCGTGATGACTGTTGCTCCCTAATAATTGTCCATAAGGAATTGTTGAAACCCCGAAAGTAAAAGCTTCCACCTGTCGCTAGGAGGCCAATGGAGGGTCTCTTGTCTCTGGCCCTACTGCCATGCTAAGAAAGCACGTCGTATGCATCCTCAGACGGTGCCAAATTTTGTTCCATAAAATACGAATTTTTCGGGAATATTATGAGTCGGATCGCATCTAGTAAAAAGACACTTGCGCGATTACTGTGTTGTAAAATTGTTCTCCTTCATAAAAATCTAAAACAATCTCTCAGAATACCAAATAGTTTTTCCTTCCCACCAAAAAAATTGTTAATTTTAAAGGAAAAGTATTGTGTGAGTTTAAATTCTGTTCATATATTGAGTATTTTTAAAAGGAAAGAAGAAGTCGCACGATTTTGAAAACACTGTAATCGCGCTGGTCCCTTTTTGCTAAATGCGATCCAATTGTGTTTTGTGTCAGCACAGTTTTGGGTCACTTGTCAAGGTTCAATTAGCCGTAACTGATAGCTTTATTTTCATTAAATATATTTGAAAGTTTATGAAAAGTTCAGTTCAAGAGTAGATGACCAGTTGAAGAAGAAAGCAAACAATCGTTTTCTCGGTTCTTTGCTCTGAAGGAGAGAAACTATGTGTTCAATATAGCACTCTGATAACCTACCTTCGTGCTTTCATCGTATGCTCATTTGTATTAACTTCATGATTACGTGGTAAATTATCAAATAATTGTTCTCACCGTCGAATTTAAAATAAATATTTTTATTTTCTTATTAAATTCGTTATTTTTATGCCACCAAGTTCAACCCTTAGGGCCTACAAATTGATACATCATAAAAAGAGAATCGGGCGTCAAATGGGGAGGGAGGACAAAAATAAATCGAGTGTCTACACAGCCAAAGGCTATCTATGTATAACCTTTGCTATTAATTGAATAAATAATTTCTTTTGACAAAAAAAAAAAAAAAAAAAAAAAAAAAAAAAAAAAAAAAAAAAAAAAAAAAAAACAGCCAAAGATAGGCAAGACGTAATTGGGCCTTGTTTCATAAGTTTTATCCCGTTTTCGAGCTATTCTTCCTTGGCAGCAGAGAGCGGAGCATTCTGAGTTCACGCCTCCCGCCATCGCGCCTTCAATTCTACAGATGCAACACGGACATCCATCGAGCATGAATAGTTGTATCTCTACGCCGTCATCATTGCCGGTTGATGTTTCTTTTATTTTTAAAATACGAAAAACGTCACGGTCTTTGCTCAAAACATGGTTTGATGTCTCCTAAAATTTCTGAGAAAGTGTCAGCAGTCTGTTTGCCCAATTTAGAAAAGTATTCATATCAATATTGAAAACTTTTTATTCGTTTTTCTGAAAGAAAAGAAAAAATATCCAGTTTTCCGCAAAATTTAAGATACCCTTGAGGCGTGGACAAAGGAAAGAAAATGAAGGATTTTTGGGACTACCAAAAATTCCGTCTTCGGGGAAGTGAAGAAGAAGCGAGGAAAAGGTACTGAAAAAACAAAGAATTCTAATGACGAGGTCAGTGGCGTGCTTTGCGATACATCAATTTTCAATTTAAACCTTTGGAAAAGGATCGATAAACAGGGTATTGGCAACGAACACCTGAATAATCTATTTCACCATAGCTTCAAATGGGAAGATATCGATAATCGATCATTCACGCCTCGCCACTACACACGGTAGTAGATACCCTGATACCGTGTATTTGATCCAATCTGTAACGTAGACAAAACAGTGCACAGACCATACGACGCACACGGATGGTTTTTGTTCCATACGTGGTTTGTGAATGGATCTCCTCAATATAGAATTTGCAGGTGTCTGAAATTTGATGAATTTTGCGAACCGTGTGAACTGAACTCGAGGATCCCCTTTGTTCATGCATTGAACAATTATCGGAGAAGATATGACAAAGTATTCTAATCTGCTAAAATACGTGTATTTAAATGGGAAATGCCGCTAGATGACGTCACTAGGCGGTGCATCATTTTCTCACTTTTAAATCAATTTTTACACTATTCCCCATATCAGAAACAAATTATAAAAAAACACTTCGAAATCAGCTCATTAAGCACTTTCAGATGAAGTAATAATGAATTTGCATGCAAATTCTCAAACGGAACTACGTGCCGACTCTATGCGGGACTCATGAGCCGTGGACATGTGTCTAGAGCGTTGCGGCCAGGGCTTACGAGTTAATCAGTCGGATCGTCGCTCTTGCTTCATCGCGGCTCGGCGCTGACGTCACTGGCGCTTTATATTTTCCATATATTCTTGCGGCCCGAGCACTAACGAGCAACCCCATATTTCCCACTTGCACATAGTTCTGTTTGGTAGAGATACGACCAATTATTCATAAGAATATTTATTGATTTCGTGATTTGACGATGCCTGCCAATAGGTCAATCGACGGACGGCCACCGTCCGACAGATCCGGGGAAGAAGTTCTCGTGCAGAATCTGTGGCTACTCGTACGCCAACGCCAACAGCCTGAGCAAGCACATGAAATCGCACACCGGTCAGACCGTCTGCAGGATCTGCCGCAAAATGTCCTCGACCTACCCCAACCTTCGCAGGCACATGCTCATGATTCACAACATTGCCGAGTAATGTAGCGCCCTTTATGACGCAGACATCGCTCAAAATGCTCCAATTTTTTCACTCGATGTTGATCGACTTTTTTCCATCAAGCTCCATTTATGTTTGAAGCCTAACAGCATTCTTTCGATTTTCCAAGTGTGTGAACGTGTTTTATTCTTAAATTTGTCATTGTTATATTTCGTTTTGATATAAAGACCATTTCAAGAGTTACTACAAGTTTCTTATCTTTCGCCTTATTCTTTGGTAGAGTTTTCATCCAAACGGCTGAAAATATAAATTCTTCTAGTAGTCACCATTGTGGTACATGGATTTTTCTATCTACATATCGTCTCTATATACGGGCGTAAGGGCGCACCTCGATTTCCGCATGATCCCTTGAACGCATGAGTTAATATGTAAAACAAGGCTCACGTGGAAAATGAAATACGCCTTTACGTCAGAGGACCGACGACATGTGTTTCTCAAATTAATAGCATATTATAGCTCTGAAATTATGAAACAACATTTCAACTAATTTTGCATGACGGAACTGGTATTTTTGGCTAATTTTGGGATAGCATTTGTGGCAATAATTTTCCTATACGGGTGCGTGCTATTACGGATGAGCCCGAATAAGTTTTTTCTTATCGCAAAATGTCGTCCATTCGTAAGGAAACTAGAAAGGGTTATCTCCTTCGGTCCGAGGTATGTGTAGAACTGCTTTCTTTGCCATTTGGATTGCGTTTTGCTACAAGGAACCACTATCTGTAGCTTTTCCATAAAATCACATTTCTGCCTAAGGAAACCTATGGCACATATGCTATTTTAAAAATGAGCCAAAAATAGTGGTTCCTCATTGCAAAATGTGGTCTATTCATGACAGCCTTTAAGCACGAAGTATGAAAATTTGTCTTAATTATGAATTCAAACTTTCTTCAAAAAGGCTAAAATATCGGTTACTTCATTCCCCAATTCAATGAGATTCCTGTTGTATACGAGCGTCCAATGGAGATGTTGCATGTGTGAGGAATTTGCGATTTGAATGTTGATTCTTACGTAAAAGTTCGCGAGAACCACGATGGTGCCACTGGTTTTCTCTGAAATCAACTCCCAAGCTCAAAAAAAGCTCTCAAGTTGAGGCCAAAATGGAGGGGATATCTCACGCTACCCTGAGAGTCCACATCTACATCAAGAAAAACTCTCCATGCAAAGATAGGGAGCGAATACATTAACAGGGTTGCCGTGTTTTCAGTTTTAGAGTCCCCAAATAAGGTGGCAGCCCTGTCAATGTATTTGCTCCCTATCTTCGCATGGAGAGTTTGTCTTGATGTAGAAGTGGACTCTCAGGATAGCGTGGGATATCCCCTCCTTTACGCCCTCAACTTGAGAGCTTTTTTGAGCTTGGGAGTTGATTTCAGGGAAAACCAGTGGGACCATCGTGGTTCTCGCGAACTTTTACATAAGAATCAATTGTCAAATCGCACATTCCTCACACATGCAACATCTCCATTGAGCCGTGCCAAGGAAAACATGCGAAACAGGAATGACCTGGATTTAACCGGATTGGTTCTCCGTTCCTGTTCACAGGTTCGTTATCCGTGAGTCCCGGGTCCAAGGAGCGTTCCTCTTCCAGTCGGGGTCGAGCGGGGACGAAAAAGCACTCGTGCCAGATTTGCGGTCAGTCCTACGTTAATCTGTGCAGTCTCGTGAGGCACATGGACTACCACACCGGCGTTACCCTCTGCAAATTATGCGGCAAAACCTTCTCCACCAACAACAACATGCAGCGCCACGTCTTGCTCGTCCATAATCGGCTTCTCGAACAGTAGACATGGTTCCATAGCTGAAATGGAAAATAGCGATTTCCGTGAAATATTTCATGAAATCTCACACAATGGGCCTGTTGCATGCAAGAGATACAGCCGTGCGAATAGACTTTTTAGAGGTTAAATGACACGAAAATTACGATGGTCACATTAAAAAAGTCTGAAATACACTCCTTACTGCGCAATTTGTGTTGTTAGGAACGCGCTTTTTCAAATCTCCCGCGTCTGGGGGCAGTTTTCTAACGGAAACAATTAACGGCAACTCGCGGCTATTTCCGGTCAACTAAAACTGACAACATAACCTAAAAATCGGAGCTCGTGACATCGTGAAATGAAATGTAGAAGGATTGCGTTGGATATTTAAAAGTTGATCGATTTGGTTACCGCATAAAGCGTATATGGACCACTATAGGAGATCACGTTGGGTTTGTAAACAAACTGAAGGAAAAAATAACAACAACAGCAACGACTCGGCATCTTCCGGAAATCCTCGAGCCCGCCGTTTGCTCGTTTCCGGTGATTAGAAAACTGCCCCCAGACGCGGGAAATTTGAAAAAGCGCGTTCCTAACAACGCAAATCACGCAGTAAGGAGTGTATTTCAGACTTTTTTAATGTGATCATCGTAATTTTCGTGTCATTTAACCTCTAAAAAGTCTATTCGCGCGGCTGTATCTCTTGCATGCAACAGGCCCATTGTGAGAAATATGAAACATCACGGAAAAAAAGAGCACGGGGTTGTTGGATGATACAGACACTTCCAATTGGACGTGTTCTTGCTAAAAGGAACTAAGTACATAGGAGTTGCATGTAACATAGTTACTTTTAGAATTAATACGTCCAATTTATGGTGGAGGTACCTAAACGAACCCAAATGTTGCGGGAGCACCCCATCTTGAGTTGCGTTATAACCTCACAATTGGACGTATTTCTGTCAAACGGAACTATGTGCATTATGACATGAGCCCCGAGACTCATAAGAATATATACATAAGAGGGCTCATAATGCGCATTGTTCCGTTCGGCAGAAATACGTCCAATTAATGTAAAATGTCCATATCATCCAACGAATTTCGGTCGTACCATAATTTAAGGGGTCGACTCCTCACACTTTTTTTCCGTGATACCTATTTTTAAGGACCGAGTATGCAACTTACAGTAAAAAACACTAATAAGGCAAAATCAGTTGTCTCTCATTTAATTTTGCAATTAATTTTGAAAAATATCTCTCATCATCTTTCGAATTTTTCTGAAATTTCATGAAATATTTCACATGAAATTTCAAGATTTCATTTTCACGAAAAATGCAACCCTGATAATAGATTGCACCTTTAATCATGATCGCAATCGTAGAATATTTTAGGAACAACGACCACCATATCTTCAAGTTTTCGAGAATCGATAAAGTTGTGTTTTAGTATCGTCCGTAAAGTTGAACTGATCATTGAAATTGATAGACAAAGCGATAGAATGGTGGACCAAATATCGGGTCTTTCAAGGATTGTTGTTAGTTAGGTTCATCACTTCACCAGTAGGTTCGTTATAGTGTCCCCTTGTCTTCTTTGTTTATACCTTTGTCTATCAGTTCCAATGATGAACCCACGCAGTTCAAATATAAAGCGTCCACCCGACTCGGCGTTTTTTCTTTTTTCGCGAGAACGTTCAGTTTTGAACTAGTTTCGTAGCAGCGATCATTAAAAAATGAATATAAAGTAAAACATCTTTAAATACTTAAAATACATGCAGTCACTAGGAATCTTCTTTTGTTTGCATATAAAAAATTTCAACTTAACAAGTTCACTTTCGCGATGTTTTTATCACTTTTTTCCAAGTAATTTGAGCAAAAATGTTTTGTTATGTATGCCGCATATTTTGCAGTTTACTTTACTGTTTGCATTAATAATATAATCGACTCTTAGACTATAACAACATTTTAAATTTATTTTCATTACTTGTTTAAGTGCATAAATCACATGCACTTTGCCTTTAAAAAGCAAACGGGGTCTACTTATTAGTATATTTTACAGTTTTTTCCCTGTTTTTTTTTTTTTCAAATTCAAAATTGAACAGTCAATTCTCAACCTAATGGTAAATTTTAAGCATATCAATTGGTGAAACACACCTTCAGTCAATCATCAGCGATTGAAAACCTCGCTTTGGCTGTCCGAGTAATGTAAAATGGTGAACCAGGATTTTATTTCTTATTTTCGGCAATGTCGCACGTATTGTAGGAAAAAAAAAACACTCTTAAAATTTTTTATGGTGTACTTTTTATAGACTCAAGGTTCTCAGGGATCGGGAGGTTCGAGAAAATAGGGAAAAACAGGATGAGCACACAGACTTCTACTTCAAGATTCGTAGCATCTAAAAATCATTCCACGTATGAAATTTACGCAATTTTTTTTTGGGGGGGGGTCCGATTATTTTTATAAGCTCTAAATTACAATGTTTCATAATAAATATATTTTATTTGTTAACCGATATCTTCGTTCTTCATTTCTAATACAAACATCAATTCATCCGTCCCATGATTTTTTCCGATAGCTTTTTCTCCGCCTCAGCAATCATTGAAGAATCCCGCCTTAATTTTGAGAACTTTTGCCCGCGAGCTCAGAAACCTCAGTAAGAAATATCTAGATACCTTTTCGAATGTAAGAACTTTAGAACTTAATATTATTGATGATTTTATAAAATCCTTTCCATGTGTTCGGATCATGTTGATTGATACCGATAATCCAATAATTCTTCCTGTTATCGTTGCGCCGTCAACATAGCAGACATCCTTCAAACGCCACACTGTTACTCGCAGGTCCTGATGTGCCAATTTCATACTGCTCTTACCGGAATGTAGACACACCGTGTTCTATAGCGAGTATGCATATGTATAGCGTTCAGATATTGCGAGCTTACGCCTCGCGTCAACGCGCCTTCAATTTTGCAGATGCAGCATGGACAATGGACATCCTTCAACCACGAATAGTTGTATCTCTACGCCGTCATCAGCGCTCGTCCCTTTCCTTGCTGTATTTCGATGTTGGGTCGGTTTCGTTCAGCTACGAGAGGTGTAGCCGGGCCTCTTTTTTAAACTTTTTTTCGAATCGAAGAGAAACTTCATTGACATCATAGATGTATGTAGTGACAGTCAGTTACGATCTTCGCGAGAAAACCGACGAATTTGACTACATTTTGCTGTTAAGAGCTGAAATTTCCGGCGCGTTCGTAAAAAGATGTATGTCTATAGGAAAGATGATGGCTTTGGCAATAGCAGATGTGGCTTGGTTTCTTTCTGCTAAGCACGGTCCAAACAATTGAAGTCTCTAAAGGTAAATGAATTACGGGGCAAACGGGGCGATTATTGAAACTGATAGACAAAGCGATAGACAAAGATGACATAGGGGGTATAAAGCAATTCTATTGGTTGAAATGGGTGGTTCTCATCGACTAAGGGGGAAAATGATAGACTAACTGTCGGGTTTCTCGTGGGTTGCCGTTACTTAGTCGATTACCTACCTCCTTTGTCCATTGCAACAACCCGTTTCCACCAATAGGATCCCTCCAAATCCCTTTTGTCGTCTTTGTCTATCGCTTTATCTATCAGTTTCAATAATCGGTCCGCAGTTCGTCTTTTGCAGGGGAAAGGAACGTAACTCCACTCCAAGGTTGCAAAATTGACTCGAACAATATTATTTTTTTCAAGGATGTTCTCGTGCGATTTTTATTAAAAATTTCTCTGCTTTTTGCATAAGACCTGAAGATGATCAGTCGAACAAGTTCGAAACTCTCAACATTTTCCCGTTAACATTACGATTTTCGAGTGGAAATTTGGCATCATTGGATTGTAGTTACACGGAAAAAAAATTGCTGATTTAAAAATTCTATTGATAAAAAAAGTGCTGCAATGTTTCAAATGCACATTTTACAATAGTGGAAAGCTAATCTAACCAAGGGGGTGGTTAAATTGACATTTTTTATTGTACAATCTACATTAAACATTGCAGTTCTTTTTTTTCACTAAACAATTGTTAAAGCAGCAATTTAATTTTTCTGGGTACGTTCTTTCGTGGGAAAGCGACGATTTGATCCATATCCTCGACATTTCGATCAGCGGGCTGATTATTGAAATTGATAGACAAAGCAACATACAGCGAAGACAAAAAGGATATGGAGGAATCCTATTGGTGGAAGCGGGTGGTTGCAATGGACAAAGGACGCAGGTAATACAGAATACACTAACTAATGGCAACCCACGAGAGACCCGATAGTTAGTCCATCATTTGTCCCCTTAGTCTTTAAGTACCTTCCATTTCCACCAACAGGGCCGCTCTATACTCCTTATGTCTTCTTTGTCTACAGATTTGTCTATACATTTCAATAATCGGCCCGCAGGCAAGACCGAGCGTTTTCTGGCTGTTGTGGGACGAAGAAGGTGCAGACTCGAACTTCATGTTTTGACTGTGGTGTGTTCTAGATCCATACGTTCCTCGACGCAAACCCCGTCTGAGTTCTGGGAGCGACCTGACCTGTCAGTTCTGCCGGCAGACGTACCTGTGCCGCGCCACCCTCCGCCAGCACATGAAAAGCCACACCGGTCTCACCTTCTGCTCCTACTGCTTCAAGGCCTTCTCCAACCCGAGCAACTTCCGCAGGCACCTCGTCCGCATCCACAATGATCGACGCGGCGACGCCTACTTGGACAAGCCCAAAGCCACCCCCGCCGATGAGGAACCAAGCCTCGCTGAGGAAGAGCAAAGTGTCGCAGAAAGATACCCTAGTCCCGTCGTCAAAGATGAAAACCTCGACGAAGGAGACCATCGTCTCGCCGAATCGATTGCCACGGAAGTGACCGCGTTTTGATGAACCGGCGAACAGGGTCCGAAGGGAGCTCTCGCATGTGTCAGGGATTCGCGGTTTAAGTAATGATTACTGTGTAAAGTTTCGCGAGAAATAACAAAAACATCGGAGAGAAAACGGGAAACCGGGTTTGCCCAGAACCGCACACCCATCGCGAATCCAGCCCTAAATCGCACAGTATGGCACAGCCCAAAACAGCACATTTTTTCGGCGGACAAAACAGCACACACAGCGTAACAACGTACATGCGAAATTAAACACATGCTTTTACTGCAATAATTGACAACATGGGATCGCGAGGCAAGTTCGAAGATGATAGGAAAAATTGAGTTGTTACGCAAATATGTGTGCATTATCGCATATTTTCGACGAGGATCGGCAGTATTTTTACGCCTCTGAACCCTCGGTTTATTTAGTTACTGACGTCCTAGCTCAAATGCAGGTAGATACTGATCTGAATATTAACTCCTTCCTGAAGAACCGGCGAGCAATAATTAAAACTGCTGTTAAAAAAAACAGAACTTATTATTGAGAGAATACGCAGTCCTTCACACTACAGAAAAACCTGCAGAAGATTGCGATGACTATGAAGACAGAGATGAGTCTCAGCTGCTGCGCGCCAACGTGCTGCAGGAAGGCTGTAACTGGCGCCTACAAACCTAGAGGGATACTTCATGCATTGCGCAATGCGTCAAGTATCATTTTAGGTTTATAGGCGCCTATGCGCGTGGCACGCTGTTTGCCCAGCGAGCAAATGTCTGTACAGCCTGTAAGTGTCTTTACAGGATATATGAAAGTCTGATACAAATACGACAGCGTTGCCAACCAGTCAAAATATAAGGTACGTTCCTTATCCCCTTTATTGCTAATGATACATCATTGTGTGCGGTTTAGGGTTTCTGGTTTTCAGGTAGGATATTTCGATCTGTGCGGTTTTTGGTCGTCCCCCGGGAAACTGCTGAAAATTATACATAAAAATCTGAGACGTTCCGGCGCAAAACTGAGCCATTTTCAGTCCGAAGAATAAAATTAAAATATACAAATTCCAAATAGATACCTGCAGACTGAGCCATTTTCAGTCGGAAGAATAAAAGTAAACTTTGAAAATTCCAAATAGATTCATGCAGACTACCTCGTAGTACCGAGACTACCGAGCAGTCTGCAGGTATTTATTTGGAATTTTTACATTTTATTTTTATTCTTCCGATTGAAAATGGCTCAGTTTTGGGCCAGGTCGTCTCGGATTTTTATATGTAATTTTTAGCCTTGTTTCTCGTTTCTTCTCTTATGTTTTTGATATCATTATTTCGCGAGAAATACGATGGTGCCACTGATTTACTCCGGAAGCGAGTTTTGAAAGTTATAGCATTCTAACAAGCAAAATGATCAACGAACTACTGATCGGTCACTAGTGGAACATTTAAAAATCCAGAGTTCCGCCACTAAAGTTTCTCGATATTTTACTTCTTTGAAGATGTCGTCAAGATATCCTTAAAACTTCATGAAGTAGTTAAATATTTTCCGTTCACAGCGTCTGTGAATGTGTTTATCTACTCCAGAATTCTTCAGATATATTATTGGAATGCTTATATGGAGCTCTTGCATGCGTTTGCGATTTCAACACTGTTTCTAATGTAAAATTTCGCTAGAAACACGATAGTGCCACTGGTTTACTCTGATATCAACTCCACAGCTCAAAATAACCTCTCAAAATTGAAGTCGTAATAGAAGGGATATCCCACGCTACCCTGAGAGTCCACCTCTGCATCAAGACAAACTCTCTTTGCAAAGATGTACAAAGGGAATAAATACATTTACAAGGTTGCTAATTTGTTCAAGGACTTAAACACCGAAAACATGGCAGCCCAATGTATTTGCTCTCTATCTTTGCATAGAGTTCGTTTTGATGTAGAGGTGGACTCTCAGCGTAGCGTGGGATATCCCCTCTATTACGAACTCAACTTTGAGAGGTTATTTTGAGCTTTAGAGTTGATTTCCGAATAAACCAGTGGCACCATCTGTTTCTCGCGAAATAGTAAGTTAGAAACAGTACTTAAATTGCAAATCCCTCACGCACGCAAGAGCATAAGCATTCTGATACAGCTGAAGCATTCTGTAATAGATAGACACGTCTACATACTGCGGGGCGATTATTGAAATGATATCGACTGTATGTCAGCGCTTTGTCGTGTCGCGCCATCGACTAAGCCATTGCTTAGTCGATGGCGCGACACGACAAAGCGCTGACATACAGTCGATATCATTTCAATAATCGCCCCGCAGACGCTGTATACGGAAAATACTTGACTACTTCATGAAGTTTTAAGTTTATCTTGACGAAATTTTCAAAGAAGTAAAATTTCGAGACAATTTAGTGGCAGAATTCTGGATTTTGAAAATGTTCGACTAGTGATCGATCGGAAGTTCGTTGATTTTTTTGGTTGTCAGAATGCTATGACCTTTGAAACTGAGTCAAAACTTAGTTATTCAAGTTCACTGTCAAAAACTTCTCATTATTATCGTCTATAAACGTTATTTTTAAGAGTTTTTTCTATGTCCTTCTCTGCGTACTTTCACCCCGCGATCAAACATGTGCCTGTTTATGTGTTTAAATGTAGCATGCAGAAAATATGTTCTACATGTGTCCCACGTGTTGACCTGTTTCCAACGTTTCAATCCCTCAATGAATACGTTTCTGGTTGTGGTGTTTCACGAGGCGCTCGAGATTCAAGCTTTATCTCGAAAATATTTGTACCCTCCTCACTATCTTCTGTTTTAGGTTCGTTTTTTCTGCGAAATTTCACCATCCCGTCTGGCGCTCCAGAGTATCCCACTTCTAGTGTCCCTTCAAAGGCCTCATTAAAGTATTTCCCAGTGCCTGATCAGACTCAACGAAATTTTATCCCTCAAAGTCATGCCGTGGGCCCACGAAATTCATACTCACCCGTCCTGTTAAACGGGCCAGGGTTCGTTTGTCGCATCTGTGAGAAAACGTACAAACGTGAAAGTAGTCTGCAAAGGCACAGTAGATTTTCTTGCAAGGAGTTCGGAGTGCCCAGCAATTTCAGGAGGAGTTAGGAATTCTCAGTAAGACTCCAACGGACTGAAATCTCGATCTCAAGGCTTTTAAATTATTTTATTTTTTAATCAAGTGCGATTCATCATCCTCGTCAAAGGGAATTTTTGCCGCGTTTTTTTCTCGTCTTAAAACTTTTTATATACCGGTGTTACACATTTCCAAACTTTCACCTCGTGCCCTTAAAACATGCCTCCCACTGGAAATTTTATTTTCTTCCCCGTCTCTTTGTTTTTTTGTACTCGTATTTGCCTTTGAAGTTCGTCTCGTCTAAAACTTAGAAATCAAGCTTGTGTTTCAATTAAAATAGCTTAGATAATATATGTAATCGTATCTATCAATGAGAGGCCTCAAAGCTATTTTCTTTGTTATTGTTTTTACTCGAATCGTATCGTCAATTTTCCATCATAATTTGTTTTTTTACTTGTCTTTTTCCAAAAGTTTCAGTAATGCGCTTAAGGTTTATTTTTTATCTCAAGTTCAGTCTTGCCTCCGTCGATTATTCCAAGTTTTCTGGAATTTGTTTTTGTTTTTTTTTATGAACAGCAATTGTTCACCATTATTGTAGTGCACTTTTTTTTGTTGACTTCACTTATTTTTTTTTATTTTTCATTTATCTCCGTTTATCTTGTTTGCCGGCATAATTGACTATGTGTCAACACATCAATTATTTTTGGATTGATTCTTCGAGTTCACCGAACTGATGGGCTGGCAACTGAAAATTTGATGTTAGAAACAGCACTCTCTTTCTCCATTCTGATAAAAATGTCGAGCTGTTCACACAAGTTTAGTGCCCAGCCGCAGGAATTGTGCCATGCTGTTAAATCGTTTGCCATCACTCCCGTGTACTTGTTTATTTTATTTTATTTCATTCTTGTTTTTTCATGCATAATTTAAATCCCTGTATCAACGATCTCTATCTGTCTGTGACAAGTATTTTCTCCATGAACCTCATTTTTATGTATCTTTTTTGTGATAGGGAGTCAATGACTATCAATTCGTACAATAATTTTAAAAATCAAACAAATGTGATTTAGTAATAATATGTCAGAACTCCCCGTAAAAACATTCATCTCAGCTAGATTTAAGACTTTAGAAGTTTCCTCACTTCGAAGTTTCCTGGATCATGCCCGGGTCGTTCCATTTCCGTCAGTGAAAAAAATTACACAGGGCCATTCTTAAAAATTCTTCAAAATCGATTTTGTAAGTTGTATTATGTTTGTGAAGTATCCGCTTCTCAATAAAAATAGTCATTCCGTTAAAAGGTGTTTATTCTGTCACACGTCGCACAAATTATAAACTCGGTGCACTCGCGCAGGCCCGCCACATCCCATCTCGGGCCCTGGTACCAATTTTCTGGCCCGGGCCCCTAGCATAGGGGGGGGGGGGGGGGNGGGGGGCCTCCCCCGGGGAATTTTTGAAATTTTAAATCTATTTGGACGCATTATGAAGCTCTTATGATGGAGATTTTCCATAAATTTCTGCAGAAAAATTATACGCCTTTTTGTTTACTTTCAGCACCAAAAACTTTCGAATTGTTGCATTCAAAACATCTATAAATTTTTTTTTGAGGGGGCAGATGATAATTTTCAATTCTATGGGGAGCCGGGCCCCCCTGGACTCCCCTTTCGTACGTCTATGGCAAGGGAGTTAAGCCATTGAAGTCGAGGATGCCCAGAAAGGAGCCTCTTAGCATCCGACAACGGAAGAAAATGAAACACAGTTACTAAAAATATCATTCTACATATACTCAAAATCTTGAAAATCTCTAAAAAAGTAAGAAAAATTTTATAGTGCCCTAGCGTGTTTTCGAAACTTTATTCACCTTTTGCGGAATTTTTAGGGTAATTTTTTCACTTTTCCCTACGAGACAAGGGTTACACATGAATTCGTAGTGGTTTGTCACCCGCGTCACGGGCCCCTCCAGGGCCCGGGCCCTGGTACCAGGGACCCAGTATCCCCCCCCTTGTGGCGGGCCTGCACTCGCGGCTCGTCGATCCGCTGTTGAACAAAAACAATTGTATTTTCGCGACTGATGGAATATTTCGGTTGATGTATCAACATCAGAGGAGCAAGTACCTAAGTCGGCACCATGATTATCTTTCTATTTTATACTGTGTGAAATATTCAATGGGCATGTTGCAAACCCTTGCCAGAGCAAAAATAAGAGCTGTTCCTCATAGATAATGTCTCAAAAATCACGATGAGCGTGTCGGCAAACTCTGACATGCACTCCTTACCTCACAATCTGCGCAAGTTTGCATTTTTTTAAGATTCCTGCTTCAAAAAGGATACTACGGCACAGGTGAACATTTCGTCAGAGGAGTCGTTCCATTCAATCCCTGCTCAACATGGCCGCGCAAGTTGAGGAGAGCACGAGGTCAATCAAGGCGGATATCTATCAACGCGAGAAAAATGCGGATGTAAACACGCCGATTGTTATCAGGCGGTTAGAATCATCGTCCCGGCACAAGCGTTTTGGCGGATTGAAGTCGGCTGTGTTGAATATCGCGTAGTGTACTTGTGAGTAAGGGTTGGATGGAATGACTCCTCTAACGAAATGTTTACATGTGCTGTAATATTCTTTTTGAAGCGGGAATCTTAAAAAGAAACGCAAATTTCTGACGCAGATTGTGAGGTAAGGAGTGCATTCCAGAGTTTGCCGATGCGCTCATCGTGATTTTTGAGACATTATCTATAAGGAACAACTTTTATTTCTGCTCTAGCGAAAGTTTGCATCAGCCCATTCTTGTATTAATGTTGGAACACACCCGGCCTCTCCAAGAATCGATTGATTTTTATAGGTTTAAATAGGAAATGTACGATGTTGCCAACTTTCTGGTTCCTTAAATATGTGTCATCGATTAAAAAAAATCGAATTTTCCAGTTGAATTCATAGCGTGGCTCCCGCG